TCTCCTGTATCTTAGACTGGAACCTTAGTTCTAAGAACAAAGCTCTAACCTTAGTTGGAAGAGGGTAAGAATCACAGCTTAGACTTGTCTGAAGGCTTTTATTTTGGTTTCCCACAAAGCAGTTAATAAGCAGTGTAAAGGGTATATATTAGGTAAGGACACAGGTACGTGTATTCAGCTGCCTGCTCCCTCTACATATCACAACATTTTTGGTGGTGTCAACAGTTCTAGTAACTGAAATGTCAGAAAAGTGTGGTGCTGTGGGCTTCCTTACCACCCTTTTTTAAAACCTCAGATACATCAGCACCTGGAAGTAACTTATTTTAGATGAAATTTGTTTCTAAGGAAGCCACACCACTCAGTTTAATGTCTGGGTTCTGGGCCTTGAAACTCTGGCTGTGCCAGCTCTGGGGCAATCTTGCTTTACCATTTTTCATTTATGCTTATGCAGGGTCTTCTCATGGGAAGACCTGGCAGGCCTACAACATGTGAAGCAAGGCAAGAAACCCAAGGCAAGTAAGCTTTCTTTGCCTTAATTCTTGGTTCTAGTACAAAGGCTCATGTTCATGGAACACAGGTAGAATGAGCATGCCATTAACATTCCTCTACAGTCCAGTAACTTCTGTATTTCATATTTTCAGAGATAGGGTATTGCTCTGTTACCCAGGCTGAAGTAGAGTGTGGCGATCTTGGCTCACTGCTGCCTCAACCTCCTGCACTCAAATGATCCTCCCAGCTCAGCTTCCCAAGGAGCTAAGACTACAGGGACTTAACAACATGCCTGTCGTCTTTTTTTTTTTTTTGAGACAGAGTCTTGCTCTGTCACCCAGGCTGGAGTGTAGCAGCGCAATCTCGGCTCACTGCAACCTCCACCTCCTGGACTCAAGCAATCCTTGTGCCTCAGCCTCCCCGGTAGCTGAAATTACAGGCATATGCCACCATGCCTGGCTCATTTTTCGTATTTTAGTAGAGACGGGGTTTCACTATGTTGCCCAGGCGGGTCTCGAACTCCTGAGCTCAGGCAGTCCACTTGCCTTGGCCTCACAGTGTTAGGCTTACAGGTGTGAGCCACTGCACCCAGCGGATTTTTTTTCATTTTACTAGAGACAAGGTCTCACTATGTTGCCCAGCCTGGTCTTGAACTCTTGGACTCAAGTGATCCTCCTGCCTTCACCTCCCAAAGTGTTGAGATAACAGGTGTGAGCCACTGTGCCCGGCCGCTTCTGTACTTTTTTAAAGGCAAAACAAGTTCAAGAGATGTTTTCAACCCAATAGTCTCAACTAGCTAATTCTCCTGATTTCATCTTCTATGAAAATCTGTACAAATACACCATATGTAGCCAATGGTGGCAAGGGGTATTATCTTCAGGGAATCTTATCAGGAAAAGCTTAGATAAAAATCTCAAGATTTACCACACTCATGACATTTTTACCTAGGGTGGCCTTGAGATGCATCATTAGAGGTAAGTATTTCATATCTATATGCACGGCACAGCAACATTAAGACTTTAGGGGCTGCTTATAATACCCATATTCCATGTGGAGTGGAGATTTTGGCTGTGTCCATAAACATGGAAAGATACATATAACTAGACAAACTAGTAAATCTCTGAAACAGTCTTTACATCTGGAGAGAGAGAAGAACTTTTTTTAGCCAGCTGTCAAATGGCACTGGTATCTTCAGTGGGTTTTAATAAATCCTGAAACTTAATATGGCTTTCTGATTTCAAATTTGTTGCTTCCATTTCTTAATGTTCTTCTGTGAACTTTGAGGAGGGTCATAAGATCACAGTAACACATTTTTAATCTCTTGAAAAGATATACTTTGTCAGATTCTTCATCTCAATATGCCTGTCTTTCAGCTTAGATGGTAGGTATAAATAGGGGCAAAAGAGCAATTAAGGCTACCAATGAGGGACAATTATTTCAGTACCTTTGAAGTCAGGTATCTCATATAAACTTGTGTTTCAGGTGAATAAAAGTGATGAGAAATCCTCTCCTGATTCTGATATGCTTAGGTCCTGGAGCAAAAATTTGAATCTAATTTTGTCCATGCAAGACTAAGAATATCGGTTCAAGGTAATATAGAAGTCAGTGGTTTCAGTGTTTTACTCCTATGTGAATATGAAAAATACTGCAGTTTAAAATAATCTGGCACATTGTTAGGCAACATTATTAATTCCTCACTACTTACAAAAACTAGCTATTTTCCTTAAACTTTAGCATAAAATATATTTCCTATATTTTTTACAAAACTGAATGTCCTTACTTTTAATTAACACAAAACCAGAACATTTTAGTATTTTGCTGTTAATCATTTAATCAACAGCATAAACATTGCTTCAGTTTCTCACAGTCTCTTGATTTCAATATATATCTACATCTGTCTGTCTATATTTATGTTAACTATTAGGTTATTTTTATAACTTTGGTTTGGTAAGGTCTTGACCACCTAATAGTGACAGAAGGTAGAAGTAGGGATAGGTCCTTCTAAATATGTTTAATTCTTGTTCACTTTTGCTAATGAGTCTGAAAACAATTCATTTTGACCACAAGTTTAGAAATGTCAATAACAATGGAAATTTCTGACCATATCTTAAACTACATAAAAATTACCAGCGACAAAGAAAAAAGGCTTATATTACATTTAATAGTGTTAATTTTGAAGACAATAGTGTTAATTTCAAACTTCCATAAAGGATAACCCTACTGTTGAGGTGTCTGATGCAGAAACCAGTACAAATTTTGATTGTTAGGAAACCAAATGTTCTGAACATTATTTTCATTAGAAAAGGGAAGATAATTTTATAGTTGTTTGAGGTGTTGTAATACATCTACTGATAGGCCCAGCTGTTTAACTAAACCGGCTGTCTGTTCCAAAATCCACGTGGGGCTTGGGTTTTCTGAATGTGCATGCTCCTGTGTTCTACAACATTCTGAATATGAACAATCTATCCCACTATGGCTCTTGCTACAGTTGTTAAACTCAGCATTATTTTCACAGAGTCTTTCATCTTTAGCTTCATCAATCTTTTTCTCAGCTGGAACTACATGACAAATGTCCATATCCTCAATGGAGTCCAATAAATCTACAACATGGGACGGTGGAGTGATTGATTTCAGATGTTTGAGCACATACTCTTCACACTGGCCAACTGCATCCAGAAGATTGTTTATTTTATTGATCAAAGTTGAATTATTATTATGAAGGTGACACCAGGAGAGCAAAGCACTAAACAAAAATATAAACAAGGGTTAAATAGCAAAATAGGACTTAGAAATATAAGACTGTTTATCAATTGGACTTAATCATAAAACTGTTTATAATTCATAACCCCTCTTTCACAACTCTATATACACTTTTCCTGATTTTATACTTTTCTCTTATGACTATGTAATATCTGTTGAAGATGAATACAACTCCAAGAAAGAAAAATTAGTTTCTTCTTTAAGGACATTAAACAGCTTCTAAACTAGCAATTCTCAATCATGGATGCATATTAGAAACACCTGAAGAGCTCTGCAACCTATCAGGGCCCAGATTATACTCCAGACCAATTAAATCAGAATCTCTGGGGGTATCTTTTTTTTAAAGTTTCAGAGTTTATTTCAAGGTGCAACCAAAGTTGAAAACCATTGTTCTAAGCATATAGTTGCTTGCCATCAAGAATGAAGGTTAGAGAAAAAAAGTTTTAAAGAGACTTCACTTTCCTGGGCTTATGTCACAGAGTAGACATTGTTTGCTGAACTACTAACAATTTCTTTGAAAAAGGTAAAAATTCTTCCAGTCCTAACAGATTTAATATCAGCCATGTCATAAAATAATGGTTATGAAAAGTATTTAAAAATAGAATCCACTGATAGAAAAGATTCAGCAGTAGCTTTCTAAGGTTATATAACATTAACTTGATGATGTGAATATTCACATTGACTATTTTCCTACTGTAGCAGACTAAATTCTGGTTCCTAATGTTGGATTTTCTAAAACGCCAAACACAATACATTTTTCGGTTTTGTTTTGTTAACTTTTATCATCTACTCTTCTTTAAAATGAGTGCTTCTTTGAAGCATTTTTTTTTTTTTTTTCTCTACCAAGGGCAGTTTAAAGGGTATAAAACAGGGGTGTCCAATCTTTTGGTTTCCCTGGGCCTCACTGGAAGAACTGTCTTGTGCCACAGATAACATACACTAACACTAATGATAGCTAATGACTCAAAAAGAAAAAGAAAAAGAAAATAATCATGAAAAAAATCTCATAATGCTCATAATGTTTTAAGAAAGTTTATAAATTTGTGTTGGGCCATATTCAAAGCTGTCCTGGGCCACATGTGATATGCCAGCCACTGGTTGGACAAGCTTGGTGTAAAGCATCAAAGAGGACAAGGCTGCTAGGCTCCTGGCTCTGTGTATCATTTGACCACTTGGCTCTGATATATGCCATTATTGCAATGGTATCCTGACAAGTATTCAATGTTCAGGACTAAAGTAAATGAAATCAATTTTCTCTTAATTACCAACTATTTTCATCATGTACTTCTAGTCTAGAGGTCTGTCATATTGTGTGGAAGTATTAAAAGTTTTATTCAAAATCTGAAGACCTTTTAATGAGATAGGTAATTGTTCAGGTAGCAGAAGTATACATCTTCTTACCATTTCTTTGCACGAAAAGACAATATGTAGTTCACATATTAAAGTGGATGAGCTGATAACGATTTTGACTTTTTGAAGGCAATATAATTCTATGTTCTGTGACACACTTTAGCATATTTAGCACAAGGAAAAGCACTTCAGTTTAAACACTTTATTTTTACAGAAACATCCTCCGGTAGTATTGAGGTTAAAATGATCCAGCATTTAGACTTTAAAAATTACCTTAGTGTTCCTCGGAGTCGTCCATAGTTTAAAATGACTTCTGCGCCTTCCTTATAACCTTGATTGAAGCCCTGTTGAAGAGTAACTGCTTTTCCAGCATCTATTCCATCTCTATAACCTTCCTAAAAATAAGTAATGGAGAACTGCAGCTGTAACTAACACCGAGTATACCACATGTAGGCTTTTCTAGAAAAGTACAGAACCAATTTAGAAAGCTGATGAGTTAGGCCTTTACTGTGTTACTGACCATAATATGGCATAACAATATAACTAAAGCAGACTATGCTTCTCATAAGTTTATTATTGGTTTATCATTACTTATCCACTTTTGAAGTCTAGAGTTACTGGGCAATTTTCAAAACACTGATAATCACAGTTTTTAAAAAATTTAGTATTGGGCCTCCACTTTTGCTGTGAGGTGGGCAAGTGGCAGACATGGCACCTTCCAGGAGTCTTGTAGTTCCCCTGGCAGTCCTGGTACTGTTGCTTTGGGGTGCTTCCTGGACCCACAGGCAGCAGAGCAACATACGTATCATCATGGACGAGAACTGGACAGAGCTGCTGGAAGGAGACTGGATGATAGAATTTTATGCCCCGTGGTGCCCTGCTTGTCAAAACCTTCAACCGGAATGCGAAAGTTTTGCTGAATGGGGAGAATATCTGAGGTTAATGTTGTGAAAGTAGATGTCACAGAGCAGTCAGGACTGACTGAACAGTTTACAATAACTGCTCTTCCTACTATTTATGATTGTAAAGATAGTGAATTTAGGCACTTTCAGGGTCCAAGGACTAAGAAGGACTTCATAAACTTTATAAGTGATAAACAGTGGAAGAGTATTGAACCCATTTCATCATGGTTTGGTACAGGTTCTGTTCAGATGAGTAGTATATCAGCACTCTTTCAGCTATCTATGTGGATCAGGACTTGCCATAACTACTTTATTGAAGACCTTGGATTGCCAGTGTGGGGATCATATACTGTTTTTCCTTTAGCAACTCTGCATTCTGGACTGTTATTAGAACTCTGTATGATATTTGTGGCAGATTGCCTTTGTCCTTCAAAAAGGCACAGACCACAGCTATACCCTTCAAAAACATTATCAGAATCTGCTCAACCTTTGAAAAAACTGGAGGAAGAACAAGAGGCGGATGAAGAAGATGTTTCAGAAGAAGCCAAAAGTAAAGAAGGAACAAAGACTTTCACAGAATGCCATAAGACAATGCTCTCTGGGTCCATCACTGGCCACAGATAAATCCTAGTTAAATTGTATAGTTATCTTAATATCATGATTTTGATAAAAACAGAAGACTAATTATTCCTTTTGGTTTGAAGTGAACTGTGACTTGCTTGTATATTACAGGGTTCAGTCTAGATTGTCATTAAATTGAAGACTCTACATTCAGAACATAAAAGCACTAGGTATGTAAGTTTGAAATATGATTTAAGCACAGTATGGGGTTTAAATAGTTCTCTAATTTTTGAAAAATCATGCCAAACAATAAGATTTATGTATATTTGTTTAATAATAACATGTTTCAAGTCTGAGTTTTGAAAATTTACATTTCCCAAGTATTGCATTATTGGGGTATTTAAGATTATTTTAGAGAAAAATATTTCTCATTTGATGTAATTTTTCTCAGTTTCATGTATGTGAAAAAAGGAAGATATTTCCCATAAACGGGAACTTTGCCCACTGTCTCAAGAAATATATATTTCAGTGACAATTCAGTGGTCTTTTCAGAGATATATTCCAAAATTTCCTCATATTTTTAGGTTATGCAACTAATAAAAACTATCTTACATTAATTAGTTACAGTTTTCTACACATGGTGATATAGGATAAGCTAATGATTTAGGAAGTTTTTAAGTCCATGGTATTCTCTTGATTCCAATAAATGATTTTCTCTTGTATTTTTCTTATTTACTATGGGTTACATTTTTTATTTTTCAAATTGGATAATTTCCTGGAAGTGTTTTTTATGTTTTAGTAAACAGTATTTTTTGTTGTTGTTTCAAACTGAAGTTTAGTGAGAGATCCATCAAATTGAACTGTCTGTTGAAAATTTAAAATTTTGGGCATTCATTTCAGATTTTAAATCATTCGTGCTGAACTTCTACTTGAATTTTTTTTTTCTTTTTAATTTTTCTTTTTGGATGTGAAGGTGAACATTCCTGATTTTTGTCTGATGTGGAAAAGCCCTGGTAGTTTACATTTTGAAAATTCACAGAAGCTTAATATAAAACAAAGTTTGCATTCTACTCAGGAAAAAAATCTTCTTGTATATGTTTTAAATGTATCTTTGGCCTCATACAGAAAGTTCTTACTTAATTTTACAGTCTGTAATGCTTGATGTTTTAAAATCATAACTATATATATATATATATTTACTATTATTATTTTCTGAGATGGAGTCTCGCTCTGTCACCCAGGCTGGAGTGCAGTGGCTTAATCTTAGCTCACTGCAACCTCCGCCTCCCAGGTTCAAGTGATTCTTCTGCCTCAGCCTCCCAAATAGCTGGGACTACAGGCGCCTGCCACCATGGCCAGCTAATTTTTGTATTTTTAGTAGAGATGGGGTTTCACCATACATTTTTATATTTTTTAAGAGACAAACTTCATATTTTCCTGTTCTTTCTTGACTGCTAATATTGTGTGGTATCTCACAGGTAGAAATCAACAGGATGGGACATTTAGTATATTTTTACTCCTTAAAGAGCTAGAATACATAGTTTTGACCTTACAAGAAGGAGGAAAACCATAAATACAATGAATCAACTGACCATTATGTAGCAGACAATTTCTGTAACGTCTCTTTCTTTCTAGGCTCTGTTGGTAGGTGAATCAATTGGATTTATAGTAGAATAATGTACAAGTTTTCTTTAAAGGCCTCTCCTTTAGAATATAAAATATAGTATCATTGAAGAATTTGGATGTGTAACTTGTGGTGCCTTAGAAAAATATCCTAAGCACAAAATACACTTTTCTAACCACTTCAAAAGATCAAAAAACAAAAAACAAAACCCAGGGTTAGCAACGTATTCACAAAAAGGATATATGGAAAATTACACATCTGGGCTCTTGCCAACTGATTGGAATGGTGTGGGTGGGTGAGGAGACACAGCAAAGCAGAGAGGAAATTGTTTTAAAAAAAGGATGATGAAAAGTGTGGTTTCAGAAATTTTGCATAATACCTAAATTCAACTAACCTGCAAAGGCTGTGTGGGTAGTGATTTCGTTCTGCATCTCTCACGGTGCCACAGCATTCAAGATGCTCAATACTTACTAGCATAGCCCCAGTCTCACATAAAGCATTGTTGTAATTGACAATATGGTTTTTGGGCTAAGCAAACACCACTTTACTGAAATATTAAACAAGGTAGATTCCCAACTGCAGCTTTAGCGGCAGTTTAATGGTTGGCAAATATATTAAGTTGATGTGGACCTCACTACTTGGTCCTCACCCAGAACTAGGTTCTGAAGGCTGCACACAGAAATTAAGCTCAGTTTCAATGAATAGTGAGACAAACTAGAGATGAAAAACTTACATCTAACAAATAAAAAAGAAAACAACTTTAATATTCCCTTACCTAGATACCAGTATTCCACATTAGTTTTCCCTTATTGCCCTCTGACAGCATGCTTAAGTCCATCTTTTCAATATGTCTTGATAAACACCACTCCTTAACTTTAGGCTCCCCACCCATTCAAGCAACCCATTTAAACTGCGTACACGTCCTTTGACAGCCATAATTAGTATAGTTAGTGTATGTTTCTCCCCAGCTCCTTTCCCTGCGATCCTCAACAAATTGCAAACTGTTCAAAGTCTAGACATAGTTAATTTTGGTCGGTTCTCAGCTTCTAACGCACCCCCCAGGCGCTCAAAGAACGCGTCTTGTTGTTTTACACGCTTTCAAGTAACCATTGAGAAATCCTAGCAAGACGCGGGTCGGACCGGGATCCTAGGGATAAAGAGGGCAGCGCCGGGCCAGGCTGGGGCCACTCTGGACCCAGCTTCTTCACAACTCCGCGCCTCTTTCCACAACCCAGCACCCCGCGCCGTCCACACCACGTTTACTTTGACTCGTCTCTGCATGTGGCTCTGCCATTCCCGCTGCGCCAGGAGCGACTCGTCTGCCTCCTCGTCAAACACGTCCCCTTTGTCTCCAGGGCCCCGGACCAAGGACGCTGCTTCAACCCACGACATCACCGAGGCAATTACAGGGTCGCAGGCCAACGGAAGCGCCAACAACTCCTTCCGGTCCGAAGGCGGGGCGAAGACGGCGAGTGGAGGCTCGGGAGGGGCTGCGCGTGCGCATGGGCGTGCTGTGCACCGTGGCCGCCGGCAGAGACTTTCGCGTGCGGTGATTTTGAGCTCCCTCGGTTGGTGAAGTGTTGATGTGCGCCTGTTAGTTGTGAGCGAGGCAGATTTCCTCGCGTGGCCGGCGCGACCTTCGCCTTTGCAGAAGGCAGCCGGGACCCTCAGTGAAGCACCTTCCGTTTACACCGTAGTCCTATCATGGTCTAGGTTTTACACTTGCGCGCGTTGGTAAACTATTAAAGGTGGTAAAGTTGATGGGCAGTTACCCCCCAAAGACTTTGTCTCTTTTGGAATCTCCTCTGCGTTTAAAGGATTTGACAAACTGACGTTTTAAACTGTTAGGATTGTGGAGTAAAGGATAATAGAATCGAAAAGTGAGATACTGCAGCCAATATGAGATTAGTAAGAAATACAGAGTACATTTGTAAAGCCAATGTATTTATTCATTGATCCGCAGTATCCTTCTGCCTCCCATTCCTGTTCATATGCCCTAAACTGTTGGTTTGGTAAGGGTGGGGACTTGTGTCAACACCAGGACAGTTCTGACACATAGTAGATGCTGAACTCGATCTTGGTGAATGAATGAACACCTGTAGTATTTCTGTTTTGCCCTTTGCCTAGGTAAAATGAGTCATGTGATGATTATCTAACAATTTATTGAACACCTACCTTGTGTCAGGCACCATTCTAGGCTTTGGGATACATCGGTGAACAGACGGAAGTTCCCAACCCTTGTGGACTTTATAGTCATGTAAAATTGACAGGATAAACAATAAGCTATATGTAAGTAACATAAGTTTTGTTAGAAGATCATAAATAAATGCTATGAAAAAAATTTTAAAATAAGCACAGTAAGAACCATGAGTGTGTGGAAGTGGGTGGTTGGTTCATGTTACAATTTTACATCTCCAGAGAGAATTTGGCATCTCACAAATAAAAAATATATAAACTATAAATATGTATATTTTATTACTGTAAATGTATTAAGACATGTGTATATATCTTTATTAGGAACAAAATGGTAGTAAGCAATAAAGATAACAATGAATAAAATAGAAAACCTCAAAACTTGAATAAGTAAGCCCAATTCCTTTTTGTATTATTTGAAAACACCAATAAGATAGATAATTCTGTCATGATCCTGATTTTTAAAGAGAACAAAATTATACAAGAATGAGAAATGAGATAACCACTGATGCAGAAAGAGATTAAAATACTAATTACCAACTAAAACTCAAAAGCAACACATTTGAAAACCTGGGAGATATGAATGACTTTCTAATAAAATTGACCCAAGAAGTAGAAAACATGAAGAGGCTAATTACCATAGAAAAATTGGACATTAAATATCTACTATTAAAAATGTCACGGAGACTTGGGAGTTTCACATTAAGTCCTTTGCAATCTTTAAGGAATGATGGATTCTTAAACTATTTTTACCATTTTAGGGGAGAGAAAAAGAGGAAACTCCCTGAATCATTTCATGAAGCCAGCCTTACTGTAACTTCATAAAGATAGTATCAGAAAAACCCCAAAGTTCAAGTTAACTTGTGAATATGTATCCAAAAGAGAATCTAGGTTGGTGCAAAAGTAATTGGGGTTTACTTTTGCACCAACCTAGTAGTACTTTATCAAAAGAATAATTCAAGAGGTTTTGTACCAGGAAAGCAAACTTCTGCAATATTAGGACATCAATAATATTTCATTGCATTTACTATTTTTTGTTTTTAAACAGGGTCCTGCTGTCACCCAGGCTGGAGTGCAGTGGTAAGATCACAACTCACTGCATCCTGGATCTCCTGGGCTTGAGCTATCGTCCTGCCTCAACCTCTTGAGTAGCTAGGACTACAGGCATGTACCACCGCACTTGGCTAAGTTTTTGTTTTTTTTGTAGCGACAGGCATCTCACTATGTTGCCTAGGCTGGTCTCCAACTCCTGAGCTCAAGCTATCCTCCCGTCTCAGCCTCCTAAAGTGCTGGGATTACAGGCATGAGCCACTGTGCCTAGCCTGCATCAACAATATAAAGGGGAAAAAACATGTTTTATTAATAAATGCTAAAAAGTCATTTGAAAAAATTTAAAAATCATTTCTAACAAAATCAAGTATAAATAGAAACTACAAATTGATAAAGATTTTACAAAAATTCCTATGAGTAGTATTTTAAACACTTAGATGTTCAGATGTTTCCTTTAACATATAGAAAGGAGAGGGCATCTGGTAATCACTATTATTACTATTCTTTTAGAGACTAGCACAATAGCACATGAAATAAGAGAAGTAAACAAAATAACCTGTATAAATGTTGGATAATAAAAGATGAAGATATTCGTTTTTAAAAAATGAGACAGGATCTTGTTCTGCCACCCAAGCTGGAATGCAGTGGTGCAATCATAACTCACTGCAACCTCAAACACCTGGGTTCAAGCAATCCTCCTGCCTCAGTTTCCCAAGTAGTTGGGACTACAGGCACGCACCACAATGCTGAGCTAATTTTAAAATTATTTTTAGTAGAGACGGGGGTCTCGCTTTGTTGCCCAGGCTGGTTTCGAACTCCTGGCCTTAAGTGATCCTTCTGCCTCAGCCTTTCAAAGTGCTGTGATTATAGGCGTGAACCACCATGCCCAGCCTAAGATATTCCTTTTGGTCATTATATGATTATATGCCTAGAAACCCCAAAAAACTTCGCTTAAAAATAACAGAATAAAAGAATTTGATAAAGTCTCTGCATATAAGAAAAATAAACATACCAGTGGCCTCTTCTAGTAATAATCATCTAGAAATGTAAATGAGATAAATATTCCACTTGTAATACCAACAAATATTATTAAATATAGTAATGACGTATTTGTTTAGTTTTTAGTGTTTATTTAGTACTATATTTATAAATGTCAGGAACACATTTTTAAAATCATGCAGCAACATGCATAAATTTTGAGTGTAAACGCCACCTATGAAGATATAGAAAATTTCTATCACCCCAGAGAATTTCCTTGTGCTCGTTTGTGGTCAGTCCCTCATCCCTGGCAACACTTGGTCCAATTTTTATCACTAGATTAGTTTTGCCAGTTTAGAATTTCATAGAAATGAAATTGCAT